GCAGCTGCCTGTGACCCACCTGAAAATCCACTGCAGCTGTATAGCAAAGTAGACCAGTGCAATGATCCACAAAGGAAAAGCAGCCTAAACAAGAATACAGTGCAACAGACATGGATGCAACAGGAAAACAGCACTGATGCCCCAGTTAAGAAAAAAAAACCACAAGTTGTAAGCAGAACCATATTTTATACTAAAATTAAACCAGTAGAAAATCGTACATTGGTTGGCACAACAACAAGGCTGGGCGAGCAATGGGTAATCACTACAGGGGGATTTGTGGAGCGAGCTTGCACACTTGGAAGGATACGATCTTTGCCTAAGGCACTGCTTGAAGTGCATTTATCCAAAAATGTTTCAAAGTCAGACTCTAATCTTATCTCCTGTCCACCTAATGAGAAGAAAACACAAAGTAACTGGGGTGAAGCCACACTAAGACAACAGAATTCTAAAGGAAATTCTGAAAGAACACCGTCCTTCACTTCAGAATGGGAAGAAGTAAGTTTCTGGTTACTTTAAACACAAACAATCATGTAGAATTTTGAAGGAAGCTGTTCTGTTGTCAGAGTTACAGAGGGAAGAATTTAAAGAAGGGAATCTGCCCAATTACAGATCTACAGAGAATGGGTATCCTGGGGTAATACACAGCAGTATGACAGGCACAAAATGGAATGTGCATTTGCTCATAATACCACAGATTTAGTGGAGTCTATTGTTTCCATAGGGAATGAAGTCAACCAGAAGTAAACCTGTAATTTGCTGTGATGTTCAAAAGAAAGCTCAGATTATATCCCACTAAATCTCTTCACCACTGTAGCTAATAAAGCTGATAAATTATTTGTATCGTTGCTCTTTTTCTCCTATTTTTTTAATTATTTGCATTACCACCTTTACAGCAGCATTAATATCCCCAAGGGAAAGCAGAAAGTGACAGAGAAAAAATCTATAGCTTGCACTGTTTTAGTTGGAATAAAATCTGTTGAGTACCTGGCCCATCAATCCTATATATATATATATATATATATATATATATATATATATATCATATCACATCCTTTGAATGGTGATAGCCCTTGTACAGAGCACTCTGTGTTTTCCTGACCCTTGCAGGAATGAAATGGAGAATGGGAACAGGGCCTGGAATGTCAGAGAGCTAGGATATGGTTGCATGACACAAAAAGGCTGTTTTGGTATTATATGTGATTGTTCACTTAACATTTTTTCCTCAAGCTCCAAAATTGGACTTAAAAAATTCAGTATTTTTTAAAATACTTTGAGACTTTTTTTTAACATTATATTAAATGGTAAGCATGGAGTTTCATAGTTGGTAGGGTCGGAAGGGACCTGAGCAGATCATCAAGTCCGACCCCCTGCCATGGCAGGAAAGAGTACTGGGGTCAAATGACCCCAGCAAGCTGTTCATCCAGCCTCCCCTTAAAGACCCCCAGGGTAGGAGCCAGCACCATTTCTCTTGGAAGTTGGTTCCAAGTCCTGGCCACCCTGACAGTGAAGTAGCACCTCCTGATATCTAGTCTAAATCTACCCTCTGCCAGCTTGTGACCGTTATTCCTTGTCACTCCTGGGAGTGCTCGGGGGAACAGGGACTCCCCCAATGTCTGCTGGTCCCCTCTGACTAGTTTGTAACAGGCCACTAGATCCCCCCTCAGCCTTCTCTTGTGGAGGCTGAACAGGTTCAGGTCCCTTAGCCTCTCCTCGTAGAGCCTGCCCTGCTGCCCCCTGATCATGCGGGTGGCCTTCCTCTGAACCCTCTCCATGTTGTCCACATCCCTTCTGAAGTGCGGTGCCCAAAACTGGACGCAGTACTCCAACTGCGGCCTGACCAGTGTCACATAGAGGGAGAGAATCATTGGACCTGCTTGAGATGCATTTGTGGATGCATAACAAGGTACGGTTGGCCTTCTTGACCGCTTCCCCACACTGTCAGCCCATGTTCATTTTGGCATCAATAATGACTCCAAGATCCTTTTCTGCCTTTGCACTGATGAGAAGGGAGTTCCCCAGCCTGTAGGTATGCTGCTGGTTCTTCCTCCCCAGGTGTAGTACCTTGCACTCGTCAGTGTGGAAACCCATCCTGTTCTCATCTGTCCACCCCGTAACCTGTCTAGGTCCAATTGCAGCCTATTCCTCCCTTCTAGTGTGCCCACTTCTCCCCACATCTTAGTGTTGTCTGCAGATTTGAACAGGATGCTTTTTACCCCTCGTCCAAGTCGCTGATGAAGATGTTGAACAGCGCAGGCCCAAGGACCGAGCCCTGGGGGATCCCACTGCCTACATCCCTCCAGGTCAAAAATGTCCCATCCACCAGCACTCTCTGGGTGCGGCCCTCCAGCCAACTTGACTGTGTAGGTGTCGACGCCACAGTCCCCTAGTTTTTTTTCCCCCTTTCTATTTTATTGAGGTGAATTAATTTGGGAGGAGGGGATAGAGTGCTTTTTTGTTATTATATAGATGCAGTCATGTTACTCTATACTCCTGTTTTTTGGATTACCTATAAACTTTCCTAACCTCCTTGTATTTCAGAAAGAATTAAAATTTTAAAACTTTTTTTGTAAATCACCTTTAAAGCTCATTTAATAGAGTAGTAGCAAGGTGATTCATAATGTTCTGATTTTCTTGAAGGAAAGATGCATAGGCTCAAATTACTGTTTCAATCCCTGCTGCAGATTTTAATGTAATTCAGAAATGTATTAGGTCAAATTTAAAACCTTTAGTGAAAGACAATTTGGCCATAATTTGTATAGTGCTTCTAAAACTGCAGATCTCCAAGATTTTGTCATCACTGATTATCATATGTGTCCCAGGGGAGCAGGGACACCGGGAGACCCCCGTGGCAGCAAAGGGTCCTGCTTACCTCCCGCAGGGCCGGAGGAGCCAAAAGGAGTCCACGCGCCGGCGCGGGCCATCAGCCGGGCATTTAT